CCAGGTCGTTGATGAAGAAGTTAAACAAGACTGGGCCTAGTACTGACCCCTGAGGGACACCACTAGTTACCAGCCTCCAACTAGACTCAGCGCCACTGATGACAACCCTCTGAGTTCTACCATTCAGCCAGTTCTCAATCCACTTCACCAACCACTCATGCAGCCCACACTTCCTGAGCTTCCCTAGGAGGATATCATGGGAGACTGTGTCGAAAGCCTTGCTGAAGTCGAGGTAGACAACACCCACGGCTCTCGCTTCGTCTACCCAGCCAGTCATGTCATCGTAGAAAGCTATCAGATTGGTCAGGCATGATTTCCCCTTGGTGATTTCTCCTTTGGTTTTGCACACCTTAAGTATTACTTCTGTAAAATTTAGCAGAGTGATAGTTCCTTTTATTAAGGCAGCTTTCACTTGTCCCTGATACATAAAGACTGTGATCCCTGTAGAGCCGACGGGGTAGGACAACAATCATAAGGAAGGAGTAAAAAGCCTATAAAGGGCTTGCATACCACCATCGATCTCCTTGAGTGAGAAGACTGCTCTCTCCCACCTCCCCCCATTTACCCTATCCTGTCCACAAAACAGCCTGCACAAAAATCAGGGACCTAAGGCAGCTGCATGCTTTTGTTCTTTCTTTGAGTCAACTAATCACTTCTCTTGGTTTTCTTCTCTCCTTTCAATTCTTGAAGCTATTTAGCAAGACAGACCAGGTCTTTACATTCACTTGCAGAATACAGAACACACATGCAGACAGAGCAGTTGTCTGTCTGGTATTTTTGAAGGAGCTGCTCTTTGTATTTCTACCACCTCCACAGTGAAACTCTGACCTGCCATGTACAGGAGATATAAAAAAGAATCCAGGTATGCCCATTCTATCCTCCTCTCTAGTTTTGAATATCTGTGTCTTGCAAATATTTGCATACATACTAATCTTCAAGGCTATGAAGAATCTGACTGATTTCCCTTATCTTTTTTGTACACCATGGCAAGGGGAAGCAAGAATAGAAAGATGGGCCAGGAACACCCATGCTTCTTTCCTTGACAACTTTTGGATAGTTCATTCAGATCATTGGCAATATTAGGCTATCAGTGAACTTTGGAACATCTTCACCTTATTACAAAGTTGGTCTTTCTTAGTCTAGAACTGAACCAATTCCACTTTTTCCATCCACTTGATTCTCTCTAGGCAGGAAGGCATTAGCAAGAAGACAGTCTAAATACATCCAGAAGGACAAATAAAGAAGCATCAGCCATGTAGAGGTAGCACAAAAGTCCACAGCTTCTAAGAATTTTGTGAAGAGTCTCACGGAGAAGGGCTGAGGAAGATGAATTCCTTCTTAGAGCAGTGCTGTCATGAGGAAAAGCCCCTAACCACCTCCTACTCAGCAAGAAGCCATCCATAATACGCCAATCCATTTTTTCCTGCCACATGTCGATGGCAGACTATCATCAGCACTGTCAATAGTGGCTAAGAAAGGCCATTAATTTCATGTTTAAAGCCAGGTAAAGGTTCGCTTTGACCTTAGGCACAGTCCCAAGATGCTGTTACTCTCCTTATCCCATGCTTAAGAGCAAAACTGGAACAGGACAGATTCAGAAGAAAGATAGGTGAGCTTATGCAAACTTTGTTTTCCTATAGTACAATTGTAAATCTGTGCTAACAGAAGGTCTTTCTAGCTTTGAAACGAGAGAAAACCTTACTGTTGCAGCAGCACATTTTCAAAGGGACTAATGTCAGATTTTGATCAACAGCACTGTCTAAACTGCAATACTTTCACATCAGTCACAGCTTCTGGGATTCTCTTCTGCTTCCCATAGCCATGTGTAAGGAAAACGACAGAGTAAGCATTGGACAGCATTTTTTTAAGGTTTCATTTGAAAAATAAAAATATATAGAAAATGTACTGAAGCACTTGTTGCACTGCTGGGATCCCTATCCATCAAATATGACTGTTAACTCTCAGAGGAGACAGCTATAATAATTCTGCTCACTTTGCACTTACAAATAAGAACTGATGTAATTGTTTTTTTCTGTGCAACAGCTTTGGAATCGTAAAGCATCAAAGGTGTTTTGGGTAATTCTCACAAGTGACATGAATTAACATAAAAAATTACTTTGGTTCGTTAATTAAGCAAAGCCATTTTCTGAAGTTTAGTTTGCAGTTTGGGAACACACAGATTTCAATGGGTTGCTAATGAAAAGAACCTTATGTTCTCCCTGCTGTGTATCATTAGATTATCAAAACGATTTTTCCCTGCCTGATGTGTGAAGTAACTGGAAAACAATTACTTCTGTGATTAAATCTTCTTTTACCATAAATGAAAGGTTCTGAAAATGTTTTAGATAGCTCTACAGCTTTTACAGAGTCTACGGTCTCAGAAAAGCTAAGTATATCAGTTTCAAAGAAGTCCACAAATTTAAGTGAACTTTAGTCTTAAAGAGAAAAAAACATGGATACATGGCAAAAAAATATTTAATCCCTATCTGAGCAAAAAGTCCAAACTTAATAAACCATGTTTCCTTGCCTCCAAGCTGTTATAGAGATACTGTGAATTGTAGCCTGCCTAACAACTATGTCTAGAATTGCTTGTTTGTCGTTTCAGTTTTACAAATGCTTTCGTCAGCTTTTCCACTGCCAACCTCCTTCCTCCACTGATGCTGAGCCCACCTGCCACTCCAAGGTAACCGTCATCCAGCTGAATCAGAGGATGCATGCTGGAAACACGTGCAATAACAAACCACATCCAGAAACAGACAGTAAAATGACTTCTCTCCTGCAGCCACTGCCAAGCCTGGAGCCAGTTCCAAAAGCTGTACCACCAAGATCTTAGGAAAATTGTCTCTGATGGAAAGTACAAGCCTTAACCAGTGTGTGCTTCGTTTCACTGCCTCATTAACCAGCTAACCTTAAAATTAAAAAAGGAAGTTGCCATTTGTGGGATAGGAAAACTGCCAAGAACAAAAATTGGGACTCTTAAAATTTGCTTAATAGCACTAAAGATGGCCACATCACTGCAGGTATGGTTCAATAATGACATAATTTTAAGCAGTATCATTGACTTTCCTGTAAATTAGTTAACGGAGCACTTAGAATCATAGAATCATAGGTTGGAAAAGACCTCTAAGATCATAGAGTCCAACCATCCACCCAACACCACCATTCCTACTAAACGATACCCTGAAGTGCCACGTCTACTCATTTTTTAAACACCTCCAGGGATGGGGACCTGAGGAGGTAGGTCCCTCCACTTAGCTGTCACAGCCCCCAAATTCTCCCTTGGAATGATCTGCTCCTGCTGTTCTGTTCAAAAACAGAAGGTGGGATAGTACTGTATTAAAGATGGAAGGGAGGGTGGAAGATCTTTTTTGAAAAGGTGTTGTCTTTGTGTGAATAGAGTCCTCACTAAAATAGGGCATAAATGGGTTCCATTCTGTCCTGTGTCTTAGAGGATGTGAATCGCTCTCCACAGGGGACAGCCCTAGTGTTGTACAGTCATTACTGAAATCTAAGTTCACAAAAAAATGCGAATCAACCATCTTTAAAAGAACAGTAGCAGTTTAAACCATGAGGACATTTACAGCAGTCCATGTACTAGGCTATATTCAGTATTTATTCTCTTTACTTTCTAATACCATGTCTGGCTTGTTTTCCTTAAGTCCCTAAAACAGGGCTGCCAACAGAGTTCCCTGGCTACAGGTCTCACATCACAACCTATGTTTTTTAGTACCACTCTAACTCCGTTTCTCTCTTTGCTTGGTGTTAACAACATCGCAGTGAATTACTGATATCTGTATTGTGTGCCAAGCTGTCGATATTTTCATCTACCTCACAACGCAGTTTCCCCATCTTCCCTTCTCTCCCCCAGTTACCTTCAATGATCTTAAAATTTTTTTGAAATTACTAATAACTTTTTGGCACTTACATGATCCCCAAAGTATTTTTTACATTACGCTTGAACTTCTATGTTTTGAATGCAAGCACAAAGATAAAGAAGAGGTATGCACCTGACTGATTGCTGACTTGACCTTCCCTCTGTTAACCTGTTTTGCTTGCCAGTCTGCTCTGCAAAGTCCCACCTTGCTTCCCATTTGTTATCTTTACACATCTTTTTCTGTATTATCGCTTCCTAGGTTTCTCTTCCGTGGCTGAATCTCTTTGCATTTC